TATTTAAAACGAAATCAATACAAGCAATAGTTTTTTTTAAATTTAAGATCCTCTTCCGTATCCTAGACGATGACAGATCTCAGCCAGTCCTGGTAAGCGCTAACCCTGACGAACATGTCAGGAGCTCCACGAGCGCATGGGAAGCCCCAGGACACGATACCGAACTGCTGTCCGTCGTCAACACGACGGAGAGCACTGCCAGAGTCACCCTGAAGGATAGAAATGAAGCGGTTATCAATACAGACGTAAACTTATTTTACAGATAGGAAGAAAACATTCGAATACTGAATCCAGTGCAATGGAAAATGACACCTCAGTTTGTGAATCAAAGGGACATTTCTGATGTTGAGCTAGACAAACTCATTAGAAGATTATCAGCCTGATTTCGTCCACTGCTGGACATAGGTCTCCCCAATTGCATGCCACTGAGCTCGATGTTCAGCTCTTCTCATCCAACCACTGCCACCCTGCGGATATCGTCAGTCCACCTAGCTGGAGGGCGCCCTACACTACGTTAGCCTAGATGAGGCATCCACTCTAGGACATGTCTACCGAATTTGTCATCGATTCTTCGACAAATTTGACATTGGATATTGTGGCTAATAAAAACAAGTCAAGAGTAATAAAATCATTTTTAACAAAAAAAAAATCGACTTCAAAAAGTAAACTAAAAAGCAAAAAATTATTTTCTGTGTACAAAGTAATACATATTTTCATTTAGGTAAATAGAAAATAATATTAATAACTATTTTTATAATCTCGAAGTCAGTGCCAAGTGCCAGGATCCAAGTAAAGCAACGATGATTAAAAGGTTTTTTTGAAGTCAGTTAAAACGACAAATACTTACGTTGCAAGTTCCAAATCCAGGAGAATGGTAGGTGCAGACTTCTATGCTGGGGTCGATATAAATATCAATGCCCATCTGATTAGCGGCTTGTTTCACACCAGCTATGCAGGCGTCTCCTTCAATGGTAGTGGTTCTCAATTCCAACAGAATGGCAGATATGGGACGAGTAGACTAAAATAAGAAACGCATATCTTAGAAAACTTCAAATTATTATTCAGAGAACTGACTGATGGACCTAACAAAATTCTTTTCGAGATTTCGCTTACATTTAGGACAAGTTCCGTTAAGATTGACTGCTTCGAAGGAGAGCAAAAATTTTTCTTTTTAATAATTCATTCACTGAGGGAATCTGTATATAGGCTAAAAACAACGGGTAAAACAGCGTGGGAGTAGTTAGTTGTTTATAAGATTTTGTACTTACTGAAGTTGTTCCCCAAGCAGCAACTATAGCCGGCACTCCTGCACCAACGTAGGAGTAGGAGAGAGACACAGGCTGTACCAGGTCATTGTACGCCACTTCGGTGGTGGTAATGATGATACCAATGTCATTCTTAACTACCGGTCTGTTGTAGTCGGGATGGATCACGCCTTTCATCATTGGATATTCGGTGCCACTGTCCCAACGGTTCGAGCCAACAGATATCCGGGCAGAACTACAAATATTCAATTGGATCAGCCATTGCAAGCTACTAGCTGTTTTTGAGTAATATTTAGCAACGAGAAAATAAAAATATCCCGACCATATCCAAACAAGTTTCAATAGAGAAAGATATACTGAAATACATATAACGACACGATACTTACCTAAGGATTGAGTCAGCATTGTAGATGCTAACAATACAGTGAGCAGCAGTGAGGACAGTGCGCTGGGTGATCAGGGAAGCTCCGCAGTAGTAGTTGGTAACGACTGCCCCAACTAACAGAGCCACCATATGGGGGTGACTGCCCACTGCCGACTCAGTACCGCCCACAACGCGAGCGTTACCGTCGGTGTGGTCGAAGAAGATGGACATGTCATCTTCGGGTGTTGGAAATGCTAGAGACAGGCAAAGTTTACAATATTATATTTTTTTCTTGTCAACAATTTGTGAAAAATTGCCAAACTTACCCAAACTTCCGACCAGAAACGTGATGAATACTAGAAGTCCACTTTTGCAGTCCATGTTTAAGAACAGCGCCCAAATATCGTAAGACAGGTAATCAATTATTTTGTGACGTGTATTTATAATAGCATTTAAAGTGAGATTATTATCAATCTTAGTTTATCAGGCCGGAAACTGAGATTTAGCGAGAAAATATCAATAGCAATCACCAGCTGTAACGCGATATGCCTGGGTTCACTCGCAAACATGTTAGAACTGGAAAGCCGTCTCCTTCTTCTGCGAGGCATGCTCGCAAAGGTGGAACTGGTGCGAGTGAAAGAACGATCCGAGCTATCGTAAACGCAGTTCTGTTCATGGCGGGTACGCGTAGCTCACTGCCCGACCAGAACCAGACTCAACTCAGACCAAACCCAAGCTTACAGAGCGTCTGGATATAGAAAAGGATCGATCCGGTTTTGAGTCAACGATAGTCTGAATCAATTCCTATCACCCCGTCCATATTGGATGATTTCATTCTTCAAAAAAGAGGCAGTGCCCCCAGCTAAGGCAAGCATGAAAGCAGAATAGTGTCTTTATAACCATCCTAGTCACAGTTTGGGACATTTTCTTGATTACTCCGTTTAATGGGTATTGTGAAGTGTATTTTTTTTTGACTGATAAACAAATGGACAGAATTACAAAAATACAGGGTCCCCAACGATTTCCGAAAAATATTCCACAGGAAGTTGATATATATAGGTGCACTGCTATCAATATTATGATTAGTTGGTGGTATGGCCAGATTGATTAGCGATAGTATCCTTTAGATGATATTTCATTACGCTGACTTACTTAACATGAGTACCTACATAGTCACAGCATTGCATTGTTACCATCTGGGCAAGCAAGTGCCAATCAGCGTTTTTAGGCCTTGGCTGCGAATCTTACGGGCAGTGGCATAGCGGCGAAAGCGGAGTATGTAACGAAGGGGCGATGAATAAACGTTAAAACAATATAGCGGGGTAGTCTTCTGTTCGTGGTTATCATTGTTTTATCTAAACTTAAAATAGTATTTCGTCAAACACAGATGTAGCTTAGGAGCAGAGGAGTCAGAGGTAGGAGATGAGCAGTCAGAATAATCAATCATCAGTCAATTTTGCTTGCTTAGGAACCATGTCGAATCGTGCTAATACGACTTTCGTTTTCAGTATACGAATCCTCTAGAGATAATACGTGTTTTTAAAGAAAGAAATGTAAGAAATCAAGGTTAAATTAACTGAGAACCTTTTTTTATGTAAACAATAGGTCGGCAAACGAGCAAACGGATTACCTGATGGTAAGCAACCACGCTGCCCATGGACAACCGCAACGGAGGAGTTACGAGTGCTTTGCCGACCTTTTAGGGATTAGGCTTTTCGAGATTTAGGGATAGGGGAGTGATCGTCAGGGGAAGGATTGGGCCTCCTATAACCTCACTTACACGGCGAAACACAATGCTGTGAATGTTTCACGCCGGTTTTCTGTGAAGCCGTGGTATCACTCCGGTCGAGCCGACCCATTCGTGCTGAAGTATGGCTCTCCCACACATAAAAAATTCCCCTTTGGGGATTGTTGGCAAAAGTCTTCAAAACACTTCTTATTTGAAAAATAGGACCGTATCCGGCTTTGATTTTCAGTAAAAGTGCCAATAGATTAAAGTGTTTTCTCGAACCTAATGAAACACGGTAAAGTTATTCCACTGTTCAATAATGGTGACACTAAATAACAAAACAACTATAGGTCAATATCTATTCTGCCGGTTGTTGGCAAAGTTTTTAAAAAGTTAAGAAATAGGAGGCAAAAGAGCATACGGATCACTTGATGATAAGTGATCGGCGCTGCCCATAGACACCTGCGGCATCACAGGAGTCACAGGCGTTTAATAATGAATAAGCTTTATCACTTTGATAAAAAATCTATCTTCTATCACCAACAATACGGTTTCACTAAAGGTTGTTGTACAACTGAAGCTGGTGTCATTTAAACAAAGGAAATAATTTGGTGCTTGGGTAAAAGCATAGGGTGCTGTTGGTGTCTTTGCGACCTATCAAAAGCGTTTGAGTGCACTGTTGAAACAAAATGTTTATTTGTTTTAAGTGTTAATGAAAGTGTGGATTAAACACACCGCGCTCCGTGTGTTAAAGTCATATTTAGAGGATTAGCAACTTCAGGTTCATGTACATGGTTCTAACTCACAGGGCTCTGGGATGAAAGGATGAAAGCGTTCCATAGGGTTAGATATTGGGTCCGTTACTCTTTTTAGTTTATATTATTGACTTGCCATTTTTATTTAAAACTGAAACAGGAATGGTGCTGATTGCGTATGATACATAATAACGTGATTCCTAGGCAGTGTTCCTTGGTATCGTGTTAGACAATAGGCTTCAATGGGGTGCCCCAATGAAAAAGCTTTTGGGGATATTTAACTCAGCTTTTTTTGGAGTCAGACAGATTAGGTAGCTCACAGACAGCAAGGCTTGTCCTATGACTGTTCTGTGTCATCATTTGTGAAAAAAACAAACTGTTTAAAATGCTAAATAATCTAAGTCAGCCTTGTCAGTTAAAATATGAAAGAATTATGTACGAGGGAACATCTGCAATTATTTAAAAAAGAAGTGATAGACATAATTCAGATACTAAAGGCAAAGATAGATTTTTTTTTTGGGAATAAATGATTTAAACACAAGATAGGCTGGCTGTGCCACAACTTCGTCTGTCTAAAGTACAAAAATCTTTCATGGGGTTAACTAGTGGAACTAATTGTTACATTTAAATACCAAGTAGTATGTTTTAAATCTAATGAATAAACTTACATATATTAAACGTGATGATTGTGATTGAATTAAATTGAATGACTTTGTCTTTGTAACAGATGTAGATGATATCAAACAAACATTATTTCACATTTAAATAATTGCTGGTCAACATCAAATTATGAATCGAGAAAAAGCAATTAAGTGAAAAGCTCAGTATGATAACATAACATAGATGGTTAAACAATGCTTCGGGCGCAGTTCATAGAAAATAAAAGATATTTTTAGCAAAAATACTCTTATTTTTATTATTTACAAAAGTATCAGAATAAACTGAAAGCAGTCGTTTCTTGGTATTGAAGTTCTTATTCCGTATCCTAGACGATGACAGATCTCAACCAGTTCTGGTAAGCGCTGATCCTGACGAACATGTCAGGAGCACCACGAGCGCATGGGAAGCCCCAGGATACAATACCGAACTGCTGGCCATTGTCAACACGACGGAGAGCACTGCCAGAGTCACCCTGCAGAAGACAGACAAAATTGTATTAAAAATTGCTTAATTACAAATACGTCGTGGTGGCTTGGATGTAAAGGCGCCCGCTTCTCATGCATGTGGGCGTCGCTCGGTTCGAAACCTGGCAAGTTGTAATGTGGCTTTTTCCGAGTTATATGTACTTTATATGACTACTTAGACATCACTGACAAATGGTGAACAAAGACATCGAGAGGAAAACTGGACTTATAATTTATAATTATAAGTTTGAAATCGCCACGCCGCCTTGGGCAATCGTAGTGATTAATGCTCAAACCTTCTCCTTGTGAGAAGAGGCCTTTGCTCAGCAGTGGGCACTGGCCACTGGGCAGCTGATGATGTGGTGATGTGAAGTTAGAAATAAATTAAGGATTCAGAAGAAAGACTTACGTTGCAATTACCGAATCCAGCAGAGTGGAAAGTGCAGACCTCAATGTGGGGTTCAACTGGAGGTGCATTCCTCATGTTTAGATCGATGGCCGCACGAGCAGCGCGAGCCACACAGTCGTTACCTTCAATGGTATGGGTTGTCAGTTCCAACAAAGCGGCGGACAAGGAACCACCAGTCTGGAATACGAAAGAAATAAACTATTAGCTAACATTTTCGAAATTTTCATACATGCCATTTACCTAATTTTAATTCAAAAAACGTTTATACCAACTAACGTTATACGGTACTTTGAATAGTCAAACAGAATAATAGTCCATCAATCTATTCGTTAGTGACGCTAGTCCTCGCTCTAAAATGTAATAAATAGAATAGAGAAGAATGAGAAAGGAACTATATTGTTACTTTTTTTAAACACATATGTTTTACACGCTCACATCTAATAAGCTTATCCTGATTAAGGTTTTCTGTATTTTGGTCTGTCGGAATCGTAGTATAGCCAGTTCTACTATTGACTCAAGTACTAAAAATATGTCTATAGCTTGTTTTTCAACTTAACTTCCTTAAATTATAATTTTCTTATATTGATTCACCTACCCTGATTCTGCCCCATCCAGCAACTCTGGCTTGCACTCCCTGTCCAATGAAGGAGTATGTGATGGGGACGACTTGCACCAGGTTGTTGAGAGCCACGTTAGAGGAGGTGATGAGGACACCGATGTCGTTCTTGATGGTAGCAGAAACGTAGTTGGGGTGGGTCACGTTGCGGGCCAGGATGTAAGCAACACCACCACTGTTCCAGCGGTTGGTACCGACAGTAGCACGGAGAGAACTGTAAAATATTATCACATACTTAATTAATAATTCCGTCGATTCCTCTCTACATCACCCGAATGGCAGAGGATGCTTCTGGGATTAAGCACAACTTGTACATAAATCTTTGTGCCAATGTTTACTTAAATAAATAAATAAAAGAAATTGCTTTTTTCAAATATCAACTGAGCTCTATTTATAACAAGGTCACAAAGTGCTAATTAGGGTTAATTTTGTTTTTGTAATATGCAAGCATTTGTAAAGATGGTGTAAAAATAAATTTACCTAACAAGAGAACCACCGCTAAAAACTGCAGCAATGCAGTGAGCAGCAGTAAGGACGGTGCGCTGGGTGATCAGGGAGCCACCACAGAGGAAGCTTCTGATCAGCACTCCAGAAGAAAGAGCCACCATGTGGGGATGGCTGCCGACAGCCGCCTGAGTACCACCGACGATACGAGCGTTGGCGTCGGTGTGGTCGAAGAAGATGGACATGTCATTTTCGGGCGTTGGAACAGCTGAAAAAAATGGTCAAAACAGGTGAAATCTTGATGACACTTAAAATTTACTATGCTATCATGAGATATTAAATTCTATAACTCACCAAAGCTGCCAATCAGAAGGGTGATGAACACCAGGAGTCCAGTTTTGTAGTTCATGTTTAGCAACGCCCAAAACACATGTGAAGTGCTGACGAAACAATGCAGATATTTATAACGTCAATTACAGAGATAATATTATTAATTTAAATTGATAAATTGATAACGGCAGTTATACCTTGCTGATCAAAACAAAGTTGGATACCTAAGGACAAAAGAAATAGAGCAATGCTTCTCCTCCCGCAGGAATACAGCCCTACTGATAAAAGGTCCTCTAAAGAAAGAGTTTGATATAAGCATGTAATGTTTAACCTTGGTAGGCCACTAAACAAATGGAGAATAGCAGTTCGTTCTGCAAAAGTTTGTACGGGATATTGTTGACCCTCAGAGTATCTCCAAATTACATTGGTACACCCATTTAAGGATTAAAGGAAGCATGATATAATTTTTGTACTATTATCGTTGGGGGAATTTTCCGTAATAGAAAGAAGATTTAGGAGAACCTTCCTTCGAAATCAGCAGATGCAGTTCTGGACTACATTATTCAAGGAAACAATGTTAGTTTTAACCATGATCATGATATGTGGGAGAGCCATGCTTCGGCACAAATGGGTCGGCTCGACCGGAGTTATACCACGGCCTCACAGAAAACCAGCGTAAAACAACCACAGCGTTGTGTTTCGCTGTGTGAGTAAGGTAACCGGAGGCCCAATCCTTCCCCTCCCCCAATCCCTCCTCAATTCCCAAATCTCCAAATCCATAATCCCTAAAAGGTCGGCAACGCACTCGTAACTCCTCCGTTGCGGGTGTCCATGGGCGGCGCTGATTACTAACCATCAGGTAATCCGTCTGCTCGTTTGCCGACCTATTCCATAAAAAAACAGATCGTTTTCCTATTCCTAAAGCATTAGAAGATAAATTATTATTTACATGATTTATCATTTAAAATCAGTGGTAAAAGATTTTGTTGATTGGGAAAACCAGATTGCTTAATCGATTACACTTATAATAATTATAAATCAGATACTTAAACAGTTTTGGTAATGATAAGAATACTAGTCTAGGGTTCCATTGTTCCATGCTATGCAATAAAATTTTATGTGCACAAAAGATTTATGGATAGAAATGGAGAGTTGTTGGTAGACGTTGAAGACGATGATGGTGAGTAAGCTTTGTTCAGGAGTTAAGGTCTTCTGACTGGTGATCCCAACATTGAAGATAGAATGCTTTATGCACTCCATTATCCAAAGACTCTTTACTTACAGGACCTTGTACTTATAATAGAAGTTTCATAGCTAATTTTAGTAAGACTGAGTGGCCGAAGATTAAAAAGGTAGGGTTGCGAGGACAACAGTATATTCTTCTCCTATATGAACCGTAAGAAAGACTTGCTACACTTGGTTTGTATTGAACTATCGTCGTGCCTAATCTTCTAGCAAGCACTACAAATAATGTAATAAATATTTGAGGCCTTTCTTCAAAATAGTTTTCCAGTCCGACATTTGAAGGGTGACTCGGACAAGCTTACTAACCTGCTAAAACCTATTTTTTAGATTTCTACAGCCGTTACGTAATGCTTAGAGTTGTTGGAGTTACAATATTGCCTTGTGTTGTTTTTGTCATGGTTTTGAATTTACTATCTTCGAACAGAAACGATACATAAAAATCGCACGGAACCCATCTATCGCAATTCCTAATCATACTTGCCTTCAATTAAATTATTTTATTAATGACTCAACTTATCTTTGTTTGTCATATTATTAGCATAGGTAGATGTAATGATAAGTAAATTCACCTTTAGAATTGATAAAAGTTTGTATTTACCTCGTGTGCCTGCAGATCATTGTCTCATGATCATTGTCGTGTGGAGTTGCTGGACTCCCATCGACCGCGTCCCAGGTGGTGGATAGGGAATGCCCCCCAGACATGGGAGGTACTAGGGAAATCAAATACCTAGCGCGAACCAAAACCAGTAGGCATGGGCGTGCCTTTAGTCTCGTAAGACGCGGCCTAAGGGATCACACCCCGACAGAAAAGACAAAGCTGTGGATCAGCAACAAACTATGAAATGGCGGAATCTAAAACATATCTACCCTAGGAGGGTACCACAGATCGTGGAGAATCCCTCCCTGGACACTGCTCCCTCGAGCAGAGTTCAGGCTGCCCCTCGGATTCTGGGGGGAGGGGGCAAATTTCGCTCTAAGAATATAAATACAAAAACTAATAACCCGAAATCTAATCTCACCCAGCAGATTTTTCATAAGGGTCTCTTTATAAACAGACCTAGATCGAACTCTTACAGTGGCATATCATCAGAGGCACCTGTAACTAACACACAAACCCTAGAGGCTCTTTATGTGGAAAATGCTCATAAAAACGACCAAAACGACACACAAAACTGGCAAGAAGAGAACAGTCGCAAGAGACTGAGAAGCAGTCCTGAAACAACGTCACGAACCCAGAAACAAACCAAACTGAGTTATTGGCTGGCGGCACCAGTACCAACATCGAATATGTTTGCGGAACTAGCAATTCCTGAAGAAACGAAAGCTGCAGACCAAGTAACGCGTCATATAGAAAAGCCTCCCCCTTTCTTCGTTGACAAGGTCAGTAATATTCAACCCCTATCAAAAATGTTAGAAGACGTGGCTCACGAAGATTACGAAATCAAAATCTTACAAGGTGAAAGAGTCAAAATTCAGGCTAAATCCCCCGAGTCATACTCGACTATTTATAAAGAACTCAAAAGTAGAAACACTGAGTTCTTTACATACCAACCTAAAGGTGAGAAAAACTTCAGAGTAGTACTAAAACACATGCATCCCTCAACTGATACTGAAGAAATAAAACAAGCCTTAGAAGAATTACACCATAAGCCAAACAATATTTGGAATGTCAAAAACAGCAGAACAAAAAAACCCCTCCCAATGTTTTTCATAGACTTGCAACCAAGTCCTAACAATAAGGATATATATAGTATCAGATCACTCCTTAACTGTCGTATAGAAATTGAACCACCAAAACCTAAACGCGCAATTCCTCAATGTTCCAACTGCCAACAATATGGTCATACACAAAAGTACTGCCACAGACAATCCAGTTGTGTGAAATGTGCTGGACCCCATCACACAACAAACTGCCCTAGGAAAGAACGTTCCGACAAAGTGAAATGCATTCTCTGTGAAGGTAACCATCCAGCCAATTATAAGGGATGCATTGTCTACAAGGAGTTACAGAAAATAAAATATCCCACTACACAACCCAATAACCGAAAACCTAAAAGCCCAGAAAATGTAATCAAAGTAAGTCAAAGAAACGTTGAGAATAATCCAGGAAAGTCATATGCAGCAGCTGTAAAAAATGACCAAAAAGCAGAAGCAAACAAAAATAACACTACCGAACAACACATAGCGGATATTCTTCGAACTTTTAATAGCTCAATACAGACTCTCATGAATCAAATGCTAACAATGACCCAGATGCTAGCTGAACTCATGTCGAAGTTGTCAACACATTCTCTTCCATAAAGCTATGCGTGTGGAATGCCAATGGCCTGTCAAACCACTCAAATGAGTTGAAAATTTTCTTAAAAACAAATAATGTTGACGTTATGCTAATTTCTGAAACTCACTTTACAGCTAAGAGCTTCTTTAAAATCCCCAACTACACATTATACCATACGGTGCATCCAGACGGTAAAGCACACGGTGGATCAGCCATCCTTATCAGATCCAACATAAAACACCATCAATCTCAATCATATCAAAAGGACTATATCCAAGCCACAAGTGTAGTTGTGTACGACTGTATAAGTAACATTACAATTTCGTCTCTTTACTGCCCACCAAGACACACTATTAAGGATGATCAGTTTAATGATTACTTCAAAACTCTTGGCAATCGTTTCATAGCGGGTGGCGATTATAATGCCAAACACACATTTTGGGGCTCCTGGTTAACATTACCAAGAGGCCGAGAACTTTTTAAGAGCGTACAGGCAGGAGCTATGAACGTTATCTCAACAGGACAACCCACATACTGGCCCTCTGACAAAGGAAAGATACCAGACATAATTGACTTTTGCATCACCAAAGGTATAGCTAAAAACAACATTACTTGTCGTAGTTGCTGGGATTTATCATCGGACCACTCTCCTATTTTTGTGGAAATTGGAGCGAAAGTTACTGAAACAACCAAAAAATGTACATTGCACAATAAAAGGACTAACTGGACCTTGTTTCGTATCCTAATAGATGAGGCATTCGGCGCACCAATTGCACTTCAAACGGAAAATGACATTGTAAATGCTATTGAATTCTTTACCACTAGTATCCAGAGTGCGGCTTGGAATTCGACTCCGATAGTCCAACATAAACCAGCTGAGCAATACGTACCCCCAAGTATTCTTGACAAAATTCGTGAAAATAAAATTTTGGTTGAATTCGGAAAAAAAAACAAAATGTATTAAATTTAGCTTGCCCAACGTACACAGTAATGATTGTAGCATAATTTTAAATGGGCAAAAGTTAGAATTTGTCAACGAGACAGTGTTTCTAGGTATCACACTAGACAATAGACTTCAATGGGGTTCCCACATAAAGACGCTTTCGGGGAGACTAAGCTCTGCTGTTTTTGCAGTTAGACAGATAAGACAGCTCACAGACGTGAACACAGCAAGGCTTGTCTATTTTAGCTATTTTCACAGCATTATGTCATACGGAATTTTGCTGTGGGGTCGAGCTGCGGAAGTAGAATCAATATTTATTCTACAAAAGCGGGCTATCCGAGCGATATATAACTTGCCCCGTCGCGAATCTCTGAGAGAACTATTTAAAACGATAAATATCCTGACGGTGCCTTGTCAGTTTATTGCAAAATTTGCAATTATTTGAAAAAAGAAGCGATAGACATAATTTTAATACAAGAGGCAAAGATAGGCTGGCTGTGCCACGATTCCGTCTGTCCAAGGTACAGAAATCCTTTATGGGGTTCTGTGTAAATTGTTACAATAAAATTCCAAGTACTGTATTGAATCTTAACGAACGAAAATTTAAAACTTATATTAAACGGGAATTGTGTAGACAGGCATACTACAAACTTTCAGATTATATTGAGGATAAGAATGCCTGGCAGCATGTTGATTCGGCTCCACTGGACACTACTCAAATATAGTCAGCAGTTAGGTAAAATTCTCAAAAATAATGCATCCTTAATTTATATATCCAAAAAGTTTATATAGAAGCACTCTTAAAGATTGTGAGTACGCATATGTGAGCGCCATGTTCGAGACGACAAAGGAGTAAAATTTTATGATAGGTCATGGATCATTTGTTCTTTTTTTTAAAAACTTGTCTCTGCATTGTTCTCACATAAGGGTACACTAATGTATACTATAAATGTTATATTATTGAAATTGTAAAACATTTTGTTTTTTTTAAAAAAAAGAGTAACGAATGGAGTTTCTTGCTCGTTCTTCTCCATTCGAATCTACAATTTGGAATGAGCACCTAACTTCACTGACGAACAGACTGACAGACTACTTTTCTATTTTGACGTTTCAAAAGTACCTATTTATGGTTTAATTGGAATAAATGATTTTGACTTTGACTTTGACTTTGAAAAAAAAGAAACCTTCGCAAACTGTGGCAACAAAACAGATGCCCTGATACAAAGAAACAATTAAACCACAAAATAAAAGAACTTAAGGACATCCTTGATCAAGATCGAAACGCTGGATTCCAAGCATATCTTGAGGACCTTGATGCCACCTCTGCTACTGACTATTCTCTTTGGAAAGCAACAAAAAAGCTCAAGCGACCTGCAACAACATCCCCACCCCTGAGGAAGGCAGATAATTGCTGGGCACGTAGCGACCAAGAGAAAGCCTATGTTTTTGCCGAGCACTTATCAAATGTCTTCCAACCTCATCCCTACGAAGGCCCAGTAGAACACGAGAAGACAGTAACAGAATACCTGAAAGCCTCGGAAACAGATGAAATTACGCCGATAAGATTTACAAAGAAAGAAGTCATAAAAGTAATACAAAAATCCAAGTCAAAGAAATCTCCAGGATATGACCTCATTACCATTAAATTCCTGCAAGAATTACCTGACTCTGGGATAACAATGATTACAGAAATTTACAACGCCATAGTTAGACTTCAGTTCATTCCACCGCAGTGGAAAACTGCACAAATAATCATGTTATTAAAACCAGATAAAAAATCTGAGGATCCTAAGTCATATCGGCCAATAAGTCTGCTTTCCATACCGTCGAAGATACTCGAAACGCTGATACTACAACGAAGTATGCCAATAGTAGAACAGCATGGGCTGATACCCGATCATCAGTTTGGTTTTCGTCAAAGGCACGCCACCATAGACCAAGTACATAGGTTAATAAATGAAATAGACAAGTCGTTTGAAGCCAAAAGGTACTGCGCGAGTGTCTTTCTTGATATATCCCAAGCCTTCGACAGGGTATGGCATGAAGGATTATTATTTAAAATAAAAACGTTGTTCCCCATCTACGTCTATAACATTCTCAAATCTTTCTTAGAGAATAGATATTTCCTGGTTAACCACGGTGAGGCATTTTCAGGCCTTTGTAATATCAAAGTGGGAGTCCCTCAAGGTAGCGTCCTAGGACCGCTACTCTACCTGATCTACACCTCAGACCTACCAACTTCAGACTGCATAACAACTGGAACCTTTGCCGATGACACAGCAATTTTGGCTTCTCATGAAGATCCAACAGAGGCGTCAAAAATTTTACAAAATGGAATAAACAATATTTCAAATTGGCTTAAGAAGTGGCGAATCAAGGCAAATGAAACTAAGTCAGTTAATGTTACTTTCACCCTGAAAAAAGGAACATGTCCACCAGTAAAGCTCAACAACCTTGAAATTCCCCAAGCAGACCATGTGAGATACTTAGGCTTACACCTGGACAAACGACTCACATGGCAAAAGCATATCTTTACCAAACGCAAACAACTGGGATTGCAAGTACGGAAATACTATTGGTTAATAGGTCACCGATCACAATTACCAATGAGCAACAAACTTCTTTTGTACAAGGCTATACTAAAACCAATCATTCATCCTATTCTGTTTTTGTCTAAATAATGAAACAGTCTAAAAGATCTATTAGGTATTGTGACGGAAAAGTGGTTCAAACTCTTTGAAACCATGACGTCAATGGATGGTTGTCAAACGTTGCCTAGAGATTGTAAATTTCGTCGTGAATTGTCAACACGAGTTGGTGTAATCGGTAAGGCGTGTGGATTACACCACAGAGACCCCGAGTTCGAGTCCCGCCGTAAACATGAAGTTTTTTAGTTGATAGAAGTTTTGTGGAACTTTCTGGAATTATTTGTGTGAAAGAAATGAAAAATTAAAGAGCGAGAAGGAGAATAAATAAAAATGAGTAACGAAATTATTGGAATGTTCTGGAGTCATGACGATCAAAAAGAATAACGAAATTGAATGTTCCAGAACCTGAACCGGGGGTATATAAGTGGAACTGCGGCTCACCGCTGGCAGTTGAGTTCTAAGTCCAAAGCGATTCGGAAGAAAAGGAAGAAGTGAAAAGAAGAAAAGTGAGTGAAATAGTGAAGTACAGTGAAATAGTGAAGTGCAGTCAGTTAAGTGAGTTAAGTCAGCGTGAACAGTGAACGGCAAAGTTGTGTCAGTCGGCCGGACTCTGCTGGAGAGGAACGCCGATAACTTATCCGTATCCGTGGACGCTGTCACTTAAGTGCAATAGAAAGTCTGAAAACCGGTATTAGTGTTTAATTTCATCCAATCCCGTAACCCAAGCCCGCATAGTTAGGAACGTGACGTCAGGCACGTAACAGTATTATAATATTATCATATTTTTATGCCATTATGACTAATCTTTTTATCATTTGTAATTGGTTTTCAAGTATGATTTGTGTGTGAGTGTTTCAGTTCCGATACAAGGGTAGGTCAAAGTCTTATTGGGTATTTTTGTTTGCCAGATTTTTTTATTTATTTGTTGGGCACATAGTAAATGGTTCAATTAATGTCTTAAAGCTCTCGCAAGACAATCAAACTTAGGGTGGTTCAGCGATTGAGAAATTAAGCGATTGGTGCGAACCTAAGATACAATGACCGAGAAAAACTGAGACAAAAATAAACACGAGTATACCTTATCACTTAAAAAACTTTTTTATATTATATTTTATACAACTTTGTCAAGACAAGTAGCATTTTTTTTGTATTCTAACAATTTTTAAATATCTCCCTAATTTTTTTTTATTTAATAGGTCGGCGAACAAGCCGACGGATTACCTGATGGTAAGCAATCAGCGCCGCCCATGGACACCCTCAACGGAGGAGTTACGAGTGCGTTGTTGACCTTTTAGGGATTAGGGATTTGGAGATTTAGGAAATAAGGAGCGATTGGGGACAGGGAAGGATTGGGCCACCGGTAACCTCATTCACACGCCGTGGTTGTTTCACGCCGGTCTTTTGTGAAGCAGTGGTATCACTCCGGTCGAGCCGACCTATTCGTGCTGAAGCATGGCTCTCCCACACTTATTAATTTTAACTTGATTGATTGTGATCTTACAATTTATAAATTTACTATTATTTATCATCAGTCTCTCATATTTTTGCGTTTGCATTGATACATACTCGTGGTTGAAGAAGAATCTTAAGCAGTTCAAAAACAGGAGATGAAAGCTTTGGATAAATCCATGATATATCAATTATTGTCTGCAGCTGAGAAACTTAGTCGATTACTGGATTCATATTATTAAAAACTCTAATACTTTGGTGGTAGCTTATATAAATAAATGGACATAAAACGAACTACCATTCACTGATGAAACTTATTCTAAAATAAATATATGTTGCTTTCAAGTTTGTTTATTACAGATAAACAATGATCCGAAAGTAATTAGCCATTTACTGATCTTGACAATTGAAGATTTTAAACGATCACGGACTTTAGCCAGCTCTCGTAAGCGCCGACTCTTACAAATACATCCGGGGCACCGCCGGCACATGAGAAACCCCAGGACACAATGCCGAACTGTTGACCATCTTCGATACGACGCAAAGCACTACCGGAATCACCCTGTATGAAAATAATAAAAATAATGATATTGCAGACAAACACAGATCCTTCGATAACGATATAATGCAAAGAATATTTTGCCTTGTATTGCAAAGTATTATAGAAGTTTGGGTTTGCGGGTCCAAGCGCAATGATATACCGCAACTCCTGCCGGGAACAGAAGACGGAACAGCTTTTAGCCAGTATGAGTCTGACACTTACTCTCGCGTCTATCTAGATGATTTTGCCCCCGGAAAGTAAAACCTCGGCCCGTAGCAGGTAACGGAACATGGTGGTTTTTAGTCAATAAGAGAGTCTGATACTCTGTTTCGCAAATTACTCTCTGATTACACCTTGGGTGGGCACAGGGCGGGAGAAGCAATTTGATGATTTATCCCATCCCGTTTTTTGGCTTGTGTTATGAAACACAATCAACCTAAATGTGATCTATTTGTATTGGTATCATATCTGTATACAGTTAAAGATTTAATTCAATTTGATTTGATATGAAAATTTTGATATTCTAGTCCCGATTAATATTGTTGCCATCTATTGATAAAGATAAAAAACAAGATCAATCGACTTACGTTGCAAGCGCCAAATCCAGGACTGTGTAAGGTGCAGACCTCAATACGGGGATCCGTATACATTTCATAATCATGTTCAAGATTGGCTTGAATCACGCGTTCCACACAGTCAGAACTTTCGAGAGTTGTGGTTCTCAGCTCCAACAGATTATCAGAGGCGGGACCTCCTTCCTGTAATATTATTTATTTAACATGTTATGTAAATTAGTGCTAGTGAATCTTGCAACAAAAGCTTAAGCTAAAATTTTGAAAACACTTTTAGTTCTGCTTTGCTATGCTATATGACCATACTCCAAATGTACCTTCTGTGAAAGCGAATACTTTATTTACATTTATGAAGACTCTTACAGCATCAATCTCATGACCTCTGAATAATAAATGGTGATACCCCCATTCTTAATCAGGGGTGTGATTCTGTAAGACTTCATTCTAAACTTCGAATCTGAATCCGCGGTGAGTTTCTTGATTGGCATTCTAAAACTCGATTCCTAACTCGAATCTATGCTAGCGCTACACTTGCGAGTGTGTTTACGAGTTGAACTAAATTGACCGCAACATTTTGACAGATAAAGTATGAGATAACGTTGAAAATCGTATTCTATAATGTAATTGCCCCGTCCCTTCGACGCTCACTTCGAACTAGAACAAGATTCAAAATGTCAAATTAAAAGTATCTATTTTACGAGTGAAAATGGAAGAAATAATAGTTAGATAGTGTTCAAATTAAGTTTTGAAAGTAACAATGTGAATAAGTGCTTACCTATTAAAACGATAACGATGGCAAGAATGTTTTTGGTATAATCTTTCTTAGAAGAAGCTCATGCTTTAGATAAACAAGAAATGCGTCGACAATCTAGCACCATTCGAAGTTTGTCTTTATTAACCTGAGATGACGACTATGTGAGCGTGTATGTGCAATGGAGCTGATTGACCAACTGGAGGATGAGGCCTTTGATAAAACCCACAAAACGGCGAGGCAAAGGACTTTGGTATGGTATAGTTCATATCATGTATTACCTGGTTAGTTATGTCCCTACTTCAGAATATATAAGTCTAATTACTAGGTTTTATTTATATTTGATTGGTCGGAAACGGATTACCTGATGGAAAGGATTCAGCGCCGCCAATGGATGGTATAGTTCATAACATGTATTACCTGGTTAGTTATGTCCCTACTTCAGAATATATAAGTCTAATTACTAGGTTTTATTTATATTTGATTGGTCGGAAACGGATTACCTGATGGAAAGGATTCAGCGCCGCCAATGGATGGTATAGTTCATAACATGTATTACCTGGTTAGTTATGTCCCTACTTCAGAATATATAAGTCTAATTACTAGGTTTTATTTATATTTGATTGGTCGGAAACGGATTACCTGATGGAAAGGATTCAGCGCCGCCAATGGATGGTATAGTTCATAACATGTATTACCTGGTTAGTTATGTCCCTACTTCAGAATATATAAGTCTAATTACTAGGTTTTATTTATATGTGATTGGTCGGAAACGGATTACCTGATAGAAAGGATTCAGCGCCGCCAATGGATACCCGCAACAACAGAGGGATTACGAGTGCGTTGCCGACCTTTTGGGGATTAAAAATATTCCTCTTAAAACTACGGAAACGTTAAAATCATCTCCAGCACTTTCTGTCGAGCTTCTCAGGGGTAACGTCAAAGAATGTCCTTCTGACTTTAGCTTTCAATACACAACCCCCCAGGCAGTAATAAAGGCGTTCAATGAGATCAAAGTAAAGTCAACTGAAGATCTTTGGGGAATGTCTGTTCGAGTGTGCAGGTCGTTTATAGAGACAATTGCGCCGCACTTAACTTTCATTTTTAATAAAAGTGTAGATCAAGGGGTTTTCCCGGATTTAATGAAACATAGTAAAGTAGTTCCATTATTTAAATCAGGTGATAGTACAGAACCTAATAACTATAGGCCGGTCTCTATTTTGCCAGTGCTCAGTAAAGTGTTCGAAAGGTTGATGCTTACTCAAATGCTGCGTCACTTTAACACGAATTGTATTTTCCATGACCATCAATACGGGTTCACCAAAGGACGTTGCACTACGGACGCAGGAGTATCACTTATAAAACAAGTTCTCAACTCGTGGGAAAAAGCACAGGATGCCATCGGAATATTTTGCGACCTTTCAAAGGCATTCGACTGTGTTGAGCACGAGACGCTGTTACTGAAGCTAGAACACTACGGCATTCGGGGGGTATCCCTAGATTTATTGAAATCATACCTTCAAGAAAGAAAAATTAAAGTACAAGTCAACAAAGTTAACTCACTGGGTGCTAGCGTATCTATGGGCGTACCGCAGGGCTCAATATTAGGTCCTTTTCTATTTTTAGTTTATGTAAATGACCTGCCCCATATGTTCCAAAATGAACCGCATATGGTATTATTCGCTGATGACACTTCATTGATTTTTAAAATAAATAGACGAACAAACAAATATGACGAAGTTAATAATGCCTTAATGAAGGTTCAAAATTGGTTTACAATAAACAACTTATTACTAAATGATAAAAAGACTAAATGCATTAGATTTATTTTACCAAATGTTAAAAATAACGTATGTGATGATATATTATTAAATGATCAGAAACTAGAATTTGTAAAAGAGACTACTTTCCTGGGGATCACTGTAGATGAGAAGTTGCAATGGGGGCCCCACATCAGGTCTCTAGCAGGACGATTGAGCTCTGCAGCTTATGCTGTCTGGAAGATCCGTCAGCTAACCGATGTCGGCACGGCAAGACTAGTGTACTTTAGCTACTTTCACAGCATCATGTCGTATGGAATTCTGTTGTGGGGACAGGCATCTGACGTTGAGTCTATCTTTATCTTGCAAAAGCGTGCCGTCAGAGCTATATATAACTTAGGTCGTCGCGAATCTCTCAGAGAAAAGTTTAAAGAGATCAACATTCTGACCGTACCGAGTCAATTTATTTATGAAAACATTATGTATGTTAGGAAAAACCTACACTTATTTGTAAAGGTATCTGACAAACATGATTATCATACTAGACATAGGAATAGATTGAGTCAGCCTTTATTTAGATTGGCAAAAGTGCATAAGTCATTCCTGGGTTTCTGTGTTAAATGTTATAATAAAATCCCAGTTGAAATTCAAAATTTAAATGAAAGCAAATTTAAATTATGTATAAAGAAACATTTATGTAAACTAGCATACTACAAACTAAATGATTATATACAAGATAAAAATGCTTGGAGGCTAGCTGGTCCTACTCCACAGGATGTTTAGAGTATTTTTTTTTTTTTAATTATTCAATTGTACACTATGTTGTTAATTGTTGATGAACTTCTAAGATTTTGTAAATGTGAGTGCCCTGTAACCTATTATAATTAAGTAAGACTTGTAGAATATAGGTACTTGTGTCGCCTGGGAGCTGTCATGCTCACTCAGAGGTCTCATTGGCGGTGGCACGGGCACTGGATCGCCCAATTCCCTATAATATGGTTGAGTTGGGCGGTGCTGGTGTACGTGTCATGTTCGTGAACGGGCGCCGCCTATTGGGACTGGTCATCTCCAGGCTGTCTAAATATGTTGTCCTTGAGGTTCACTTCTTTTTCGTACTTTTTGCCTGAACATTAGTGTTACATTGTTCTCACATATCAGAACCGACTAAATGATGTAACAAAGAAATGTATTGTAAAACTGATTGAAAAAGAGTAACCATGGAGTTTCTTGCTCGTTCTTCTCCATAGGAATCTACACTTTGGAACGAGCAAATAGCTTCACTAGAGGACAGACGGGCAGACTGACACGCTTAATTTTAAAGCTCTTGTTATATATACTTTTTTCCTTTTTTGCTTGCTTGACGTTCAAAAGTGCCTACTGTGGTCTAATTGAAATAAATGATTTTTGACTTTTGACTTTTGACTTTTTGATTATGGATTTGGAGATTTTGACACACATTCACACGGCGAAACACAACGCTATGGTTGTTTCACGCCAGTTTTCTGTGAAGCCGTGGTATCACTCCGGTCGAGCCGACCCATTCGTGCCGAAACATGGCCTTCGCACACTTAAAATAGTATAAGTACTAGATAGTCATTCGATTTTTTTCAGGTGATTCAGGATATTCTCAACGTGCCTACTTTATGACACCATTAGTGGTGCTGAAGCCAATTCCCCAGAAGCATTTTAAAATAACATACATGCATATTACTGCTCGCAATTTTGAAGAGAGGACAATTAGAGACGAAATTATGTACAATTGCTGAAGTTCAAAGGAAGCAAACTAGGAATTTGCCATCTAATACAGGTTTAAATCTAGGACGTAGGCAAAATATAGTGCCTCAAAGAGCCAATAGACCACCACAGACGGAGCCCTACAGGGCTGATGTTCAGCCACGGTGGCGGGGCAAGCGCAATGAGGTGCCACGGTCACGGCCTAAAGCAGGAGAAGGAACGGGGGGGTTTTAGTCAGTAAGAGTCTGACACTATCTCGCCTTACCCTGGGCGGGAGAAGTGATATGATGATTTTCCCCTGACAAAAAAATATGATTATGATTTTATTTAATTTTATTTTGATTTTAATTCAATTAGGGTCTTGTATGATTTTATTTTTTCCACATTTTTTTATGCGTGTGATTTCATTGTTTTATTACATTTTTTTCTTTTAATTTAGCCTTACGAGCCTAATTGTTAGACCCTAGTTAATTTATTGTATCCCATAATTGTTTGAATATACAATTGAGTTAAAATCAAATAAATAAATAGTGATATGTGAGGATGGGTCTTTAATAAAACTGCTAGTACTCGTTAAAATTGTTTAATTTAAATATAAAAAAAAAATTTGGTTGAAACGTCTTAAACACTAAAACACAACTTCGTTGTTACACCCTATCTCGATGCATGGCCTCTGCCAATGCTCACAATCCATTCCAGATTGAAACTACAGATCCAGCTAAAATTTAATCATTCCCTAGACTTCTCTTCAGAAATGCTTGCAAGATCTGCGCATTTGATATTTGTAAATTCTTCCAATTGATTTGAAATCGTCTACTCTTCCACCTTCAGGAATCTCTCTATGATGTTGGAGAATTCCGTTCGCCGTTGTGATGTTGGAGGAGCAGCAACTGAAGATGTGTGACGTGATACTGAAAAGAGAACACCGATTAATATGTGCATTGATAAAAACTCTTTAACAAATTGCAGCTTTTCGCTGTCGTTTGTTCCAAAAATTAAGTTCTTTCTTCAACCTCTGATAGCTCAACTTCATCTTCCACCACACCAGTCCTGTCCTGCGCCTAGCTGCTAAGCTTCTTATGGCGCTTTTTTCTCAGACCAATACTACAAGCAGACATTTATATTAATAAAGAAGTTATTAAAAAAGCCTTACTTTTTATTATTATTAATAGTCAATGTAAAATTAAAATAAGATAAGTTATATAACCAAGGAGCACGCCAAGATTCATCGTTATTTTAAGTGGCTTGCATTAAGGAATATTAAATGGTTTTAACATGCCAAAGTAAGCACTACTTACTTCACCTTGGTCCTCTGTTTATAAGTTTTGAAAGTGCCATCTATACCATACAGGCACACGGCTAGTTCCTTCCACTAGCGCCGATTTCGCTCTCTGGCACCTTGAGTTCTCAAGAAACCCTTCGCCAGCCAGGTAAAACCTGTGATGACGACGGGTGTGAGGAACGTATCTCATTTGGACTGAAACATTATGGTTTGATTAGAAAACAAAATAAACACTCTATAATAAATATTATTTTTGAACTTTACAACCAGTAATAAAACTTACTTCATGTTTATGATCTCTCTTTTTATCGGCAAACACGGAACAGAAAAAATATACGAATAAACCAAACGTGGACAAAATAATACAAAGCAAATGACAAAGAGTTTGTCAACAATGAATGAAGACATTATCTGTCAGTTTCTTTTTGGTAAACGAAGCACAGATTATATTCATCGCCTGAATTTACAGTTTTCTATTTATTTTGTAATAATTAGCTGCCTAAAATTCCTTAAAATAAGAAATTTCAATTTATACGTCATAATATCTAAAATTCTGTGTCAAAAACTTGTTAAAATGAAAACCGATAAATCTCGACTTACATTTTGTGTAGTGTGGTACTACACTAGTACAGTATTGGCCGATTCGGAGCTCACTCCACTTCGCAAGTGCCTAGGTGATGCTTACAGAATGCAAAATCAACGCCATTTTGAACCTTATGCGAAGTGAGAGAGAATGTCGACTTGACATGCGAGTTCGTGTTAGAATTTTATAGAATCGACGTGCAGGACCGTTCTTTCAAAAATAATTATTTAAATACCAGCTTAATAGTAGTTTAAAAGTTAGCAGGGCCGTTTTTTATTATTGTAATGACACGGTTGGCGCGGTGGCTGCACAACTAAAAGCAGCGCAACGTGTCACTTGTTTAATTCTGGATGTCATTCGTATGTGAAATCGATGTTTGTAAACCGACCCTATGTTTGGAAAAGGCTAGTTTGGGACAACTTCGTGGAATGCACTTCAAGGTATAAAGTTTAGGTTTTCTGGCTACTGACAGAATTTTTTTTAATCATATTAATTTTCTAACTTACGTAAATCCTGCCCCAACCGGCAACTATAGCTGGCACTCCACCATCAATGTAGTCGAAGGTGATAGGTACGGGCTGCACCAATTCGGTATAAGCCACCTCTGCGCTGGTAATGAGGACTCCAATGTCATTCTTCAAGGTCATGAAGTCGTAGTCTGGATGGCTGACATGACGAGCTATAGTGTAGGCAGTTCCACCCGAGTCATGACGGTTGGTGCCGACAGTAACACGAAGAGATCTATTAAACAGAGTTCATATCAAAAAGTATTTATCAACGAGATTACCTGCATCTTAATCTTTGGCTGGTAGAGAATACCAATGGCATTAAGTCTACTTTATGTCATACATATGCCGCAGCCAGCCTGCCAGCAGCGCAGCCAAAATGAAATAGCCATCCAACCAACGGCCTGAATGACTAGAGAGTCTAGTCCAACCAACGGCCTGAATGACTAGAGAGTCTAGTCATTCAGGCCGTTGGTTGGATGAATTGAATGGCTAAATTTCTCATTCAGCTTAGTAGAAGTCCGAAGGGGTTGTCATGAAAACCGAGTTGCAACCAGATTGGTAAGTTAGGTAGGTACTGCGAACCTCGCAGATATAGAATCGCCATCGCAAATAAACAGCTAATCAAATTGTACTGCAATCAAAGGGCTAGCTGATTGATTGAACGGCTACAATTGGCTTAGACATAATAATATATACTATATCATTTTTGCATGAAGCGTATTAAATAAATAAATACCTATACCTTATTTCTTCGTCTCATTTTCCTTACCTATACAGAGTTCCGGAGATTGGAAGGTAAACGACGCCAATGCAGTGTGCTGCAGTAAGGACAGTCCTTGGGGCTATCAAGGAACCTCCGCAGAAGAAGCTTCGGACGAATAGACCGGAGGAGAGGACCACCATGTGAGGGTGGCTGCCGACTGCCGCCTCAGTACCACCGACAATACGACCATTAGCGTTCTGCTTGAAGAAGATGGACATGTCATCTTTAGGTCTTGGAAGTGCTGGAAACAAAGAAATTGTATTTTAATACTTGTCATTTGCTCTCTTTTGCTCTCTTCCGCGCGCCTCAAAGAGCCAATAGGCCACCCTACGTGGCTGATGATCAGCCAAGGTTGCGGGACAAGCGCAATGAGGCACCGCGGCCATGGCCTTAAGCAGGCGAAGAAACGGGGCGTTTTAGTCAGTAAGAGTCTGACACTCTCTCTCGCCCCACCCTGGGCGGGAGAACTCATTTAATAATTTAAAAAAGGGTAAGTATCTTCTACATAAGGCTTTAATATTGCAGTTTCGAAGGTTGAGAATTTGTTAGAGAGTACTGCTGTCTGGATGGTCTTAGCAGTGATCCAGTTAGCTCTAGCAGTAACATCCATCGAATCACATAAGGAGGAGGCCTTTGCCCAGCAATTAGCACATAAAGGCTGGTTTAAAAGCTAATTGCTAAGCAAAGGCCTCTTGAAATTATAAGCTTTAATCGCCAGACTTGCTATTGCAATTTCAAACTTCAGGTTCAGGTCTCATCGCGTTCTTTTCTTCAACCATTAAATATAATTCGGAAAAAAATCTCAAAACGAATCCATGACAAGCGGGCGCCTAAACCTACGGGCCACAGTGACTTTGCAGAAAATAATAAAAAAAAATGGTTCAGTACAGTAATACATGGTCACCAGTCACGGTGATGAGGGAGTCACTGATGGATATGCTCAATGAACACTAAACAATAGCTTGCGTAGGGTAAAAACGGATTTGAAGAATATTTTTAATTGATTATAGAGAATTCCAGTGGATATTTATATAATGTACTACTTACCAAGGCTTCCAACCAGAAGCGTGGTGAACACCAGGAGCCCGGCTTTGTAGTCCATGTTTGAAGAGGAAGTACCTAAGTGTGATTTGTTACCAAACATTGCTGATATTTATATTAAAAATGATAGAGATAATACAAGAAATCATTAATACAAGTGATAATTTAATATCGACTGTTGGAAATCTCTGATTAAGACTTTTTATTTAATAGGTCATATCCGGAGAGTCCTTTGGAACTGATGACCCGGATGTGCAGAAGCGGTTTCGAAGCTTGATCAGTCCCAATGTGAACATTTCGAATAGGGGGATTCTGAATAGTAACTATCGTGAGAAATAAATACTCAATTAATTGAAAATAACTCAATAAATTGAGCAAAGCTCTACTAGTTTCGAGTTACAACGGGACTCTTATTCGTAAACAGCGTGCAAGTCGCCGCGACGTCACCGCGAGTGAGACCGAAAGTATCTCTTCTTCTCCATCACTTAAATAAGTCGTTATTTAAAAAAAATGCTTTATTTTTGCTTACTGTGTTTGTTGATTAAAATCCAGAATAAATTGGAGAAAATGAAAGTAGTATTGGATATTTTTAAAGGAAAATAATTAACACGTATGTTATAGACCATTACTTGAGAATAAAATTACCAATCTGTGGTATCTTGCACGTTCATTGTGTATGTGAAACAAGAAACACACAGGAAACCACATCTGATTTGTCAAAATGTCATATGTAGGTACCTAATGTAGGCAACCTGGTTGAAGAACCAATAACTGTAATTCTATTTCAATAGATTTTTAATCCGCCTTGAGCAAACGTGATGCAAGTGAGCAAAAGCTATTTTTCGGAACTAAACCATAAATAGGTACTTTTGAAACGTCAAAATAGAATAGCAGGCAGTCAGCCTGTTCGTCATTGAAGATAGGTGCTCGTTCCAAAGTGTAGATCCGAATGGAGAAGGAACTGATTTTCCAGAATTTTCGGTCCTCGTCGTTCGTATTCGAATCGAATATCGAGGTTTTTTATTTTTGTGCCAAGTCGATAATATGTGGTCATTGAAATAATAATAATATGTTAATGGAATTTTAATTTCAATCAAGGCCTGAATGTCTAGCTGTAAGATTTAATTATTGAATTTCTGTTTCACTACAGATTTGGTAACTATTTGATGGCGAAAATCCAGCACCGCGCCAAAATAGTGCGGTGCGATTTCGTGCCAGAGTAGAAGCAATGTTTGTCGTATCTCCGGCCACCGTGACCGGCTACGGACGGCGAGTAAGGGTAGCCCGCCGCCCGACCAGAACCAGACCCGAGCGTACGGAGCGTAGCATTCCGCGCACACCTCAAAGACCAATACAGATGGGGCCCCATAGGGCTGATGTTCAGCCGGAGTTGCGGGGCGAGTGCAATGAGGCACCGTGGCCTTGGTCCAGAGCAGGAGAAGAAACGAGGGGGGGGGGGGGTATTTAGTCAGTAAGAGTGTGAAACTCCCTCTCGCCCCACCCTGGGCGGGAAAAGACAATTGATGATGTTTCCCTCACAAAAAAAAAAACAAAAAACTTAGGGTCGGACACGCTGTTATAGGTAAGACCCCTGTTTGAAGTGTCGAGAGAGACGCCTTGGCGTACCGAACAGCTGACACATGTGCTTACTGGATACGACATGCCATGCCAGTAAGACTCTTGTAGTACTCCCTCTTTCCATACTCTTTGCGAAAGATGGCATTAATGATTTTCCCCGTCTCAGAAATAGGAAGAAATAAAAAAAAACAATTTATAATAAAAAGTGTTGATAACATCAGCAGGTAGGAAATCAGATATAAGTAATTGGAAAAATACATACTTGATATATCTTAGTAGATAACGCTTATACAATGACTTAGAATCACTAATTACTTAAGTTTACTCATTAAATTTGCTACTAGTAATGATATGAGAACTTTTTTAATTTTAGGATTCCCTATTTACATTTTAAAAGGAAAATTAATAGTGTTAACTACGATTTTTTTGCTTTAAAGAGCCAATAGACCACCACTGATAGGCCGGATGGGGTCGTTATTCGTTAACCGGTGTTGCGGATTAAGCGCAAAAAGGTAGGTACCGCGCCCCTGCCCTGCCTGGTAAAGGAACGACGGGTTTTAGTCAGTAAGAGTCTGACCAGCCTGACAATTCCTCGTCCCTCATCCAGGGCAAGAGTAACCATTTGTTGTGCATACTGATCGCATGATGATAAGTAATCGGTGCCACTCATTACTCACACAACACCATTAGAGAGTTGTTGCTGCGTTACTGGCCTTTTAGGTGTGAGATTTGATAGTTTGCGCAATCGAGGACATTAGGTTAAGAGTTTAGAGTAATGAAACAATAAAGTTCAAAATCGAACAAAGAAATTTGACAGAAAGGAACTATAATAATCAGCTACAGAACCCTTACTCTACTAATTGCGTGTAGGCACATTATAGATGGAAAGATATATAAGTATCAGTGATTCACTATTTATTTGTTTGTATATCATGCAGTAACAGCAGTAACACTTAGATTTAGAGATTACCTGGAAATGCCGGTATCAATTCAACATTTACCTCCTATAATTGAAGATTATTATCTTGTTTAATACCAAGCTGTCTATTAATGGTAGGGTATAATACTTTCCCGAAAATAATAGATCCCATCATTTGTTCTTTTTTTACAACTTGTCTCTGCATTGTTCTCACATAAGGGTACAATAATGTATACTAAATGTTATATTAGTGAAATTGTAAAATAAATATTTTTTTTAAAGAGTGACGATGGAGTTTCTTGCTCTTTCTTCTCCATTCGAATCTGCAATTTGGAATGAGCACCTAGCTTCACTGACGAACAGACTGACAGACTACTTTCCCATTTTAACGTTTTAAAAGTACCTATTTATGGTTTAGTTGGAATAAATAATTTTGATTTTAAATAACTTTGACCCTAGCGTACGGCACGTAGCGTTACGCGCGCGCCTTATCAGGTCATAGACCACCACAGACGGGGCCCTACAGGGCTGATGTTCAGCCGGGGTTCCAAGGCAAGCGCAATAAGGTACCGTGGCCTCGGCCTAGAGCAGGAGAAGGAACGGACGGGTTTAGTCACTAAGAGTCTGACACTCTCTCTCGCCAGACAAAAGTCATTTGATGATTTTGCCCTCACAAAAAGGGCATAATTATATACGAAACTTTTGCTACACTTTCCTTTTTCCCGAGGGTTACACAAGAGTCTATGTCGGAGAACGATAAAAATCAATTGATGACGTCTTATTTTTTCATTAGCATAGATAAATAACTCCAACATAGATGTGTGCCGGGCCGGACATGGACACTATACTTGGTCAAAAAATTCTCATCTCTCTTTTTCATTTTAAATAGAGACCGAACCCTTACTTTCTCTAACAAATTCAAAACCTTTTTAAATGTGATCCAACCCAACCACTTATGTAGAGGTGCCTGATGTGACTGTGAAAGAACTATTCTTAATTAAATGTTAGCGAATATCGATCGAATTTAACAACGCTTAATTGAGTCCAGGGCCGCGGTAGCTGCTAGAAAACTTGGCGTTCTTGCAAAAGTCCGACGGTACTTCATCCGTGTCAGCTTCTAATGTTAACAAAGCACAGGTCCGATCGTGTGTGGAGTACTGCAGCCACATATGGGCTGGTGCTGCAAAATGCCACCTAGCGGCTTTGGATTCAGTGGAAAGGCGTGCAATGAGGCTGATTGGTGATCCGGATTTGGTTGGGTCCAATCTTCAAAGCCTCGAGCACAGGCGCAAAGTAGCCAGCCTTGCGGTGTTCTACAGGATGCATTTTGGAGAGTGTGCGCAGGAATTGCACGATTTGATTCCGCCATCCCCATTTCACCTTCGGACATCCCGACATACGGCAAATATCCACCCTTACGTTGTTGAGACACCTGCAGCCCGGACTAAGCGTTGTGCCTCGTCATTTATACCGCGTACATCGAGGGATTGGAACAGTTTGCCGGCTGCAGTCTTTCCGTCCAAATATAATTTAGGTGTCTTCAAGGCTAGAGTGAATAGGCTCTTAATAAACTAGTGCGCCTTACCATTGCATCATTGCTTACCATCAGGTAGGATCGCAGTCAAGCACTAGTTTATAGCAAGTAAAAAAAAATCGAATTTCTTTTAATAATTTTATAAGTAATAAGGATAATATTAAATTACCTACATTTAGTATATGTTTACTTACCTGATAATTTGGCGGAAAGGATAGTGCAAGGTCTATTCTACATCTGTTTCTATTTTAAGTTTTTACGGGAGTTAATTTTAAGCGCCAAAAACGCCAAAAATATGTAGAAGTAAGAACCCAGAATATGTACATGTAAAATGTTAGGTAACAAAAAATATGTAATACATGTACAACAGGTGTGCCATTATAGCAAGTGCCTGGTAAAAACTTTTCAGCAAATCAATGCAGAAATGATTGAATTAGGTTTAATTATGATAAATTCATTGATTAATAAATATTTTAGCCTCGGCCCAAAATAAATTTTAGAATGAAGGAGTGAGGATCCAATTATGAAATTGCTTTTGTTTTTTTATGTTTTTTTTTTTATTTAATAGGCAAACGAGCAGACGGATTACCTGATGGTAAGCAATCAGCGCCGCCCATGGAAACTCGCAACGGAGGAGTCACGAGTGCGTTGCCGAACTTTTAGGGATTAGGGATTTAGAAGGGGCTGGGGGAGGGGAAGGATTGGGCCTCCGGTAACCTCACTCACACGGCGAAACACAACGCTGTGGTTATTTCACGCCGGTTTTCTGTGAGGCCGTGGTATCACTCCGGTCGAGCCGACCCATTCGTGCCGAAGCATGGCTCTCCCACACTTACAGATTACCAGACGGATTACAGGATTTACGTGGAGATTTAGTGATTGGGAAAAGATGGAGGAGGGGAAGGATTGAGTCTCCGGTAACCTCACACAAACATCATCATCATTATCATATCAGCCACAGGACGTCCACTGCTGAACATAGGCCTCCCCCATTGACTTCCATATAGGCCGCGCCGGTTGGAAACGACCTGCATCCAGCGGCTTCCTGCGACCTTAATCAGGTCGTCTGTCCACCTTGCGGATGGACGCCCTACGTTGC